AGAGAGATATAGGAGTAAGGATAGGCATGGATATGGTACTGGCACTGGCACTGGGTGTAGGGTGGAGCCCAGTGGCATGGCTAGCTAAAGATTACCGTTATTTGTATGCAAAGCAGCAGGCCAAAACCGACAACAACAATGTAACAGGGAGGGGAGAGGGGGGGGCAGAGCTGCCATTCAATGTCAGGCCAAGAGCAGGAGATGCTGCAGCAGCACGAGCAGCAGGATCCGCTGCGGCAGGATGAGGAAACGGGGAGCAACAGAACGAGGAACGTGTTTCAATTTTTATGACATTTCAATGCAGTTTGTGTCAGCGAAACGGGTTCAAAATGGCCAACGGAAAGGGTTGCGAGGAACACTGAAAAACTCGTTACAATTTTGACAATTCAAATTTTTGCCCGAGGCGGACCCCCCTTAGACCAAGGAAGAAACATGTTTCTGGACAGTTTGCCACAATTCAATTGAATTGTAAAAATGTTTCACAAAATATAGAAAACAAGAAACGGAAAAGAAAGCGAACAAGAATAAACGATTGCGGTGAAAAGTATTTGTAGATAGATTGCGCATACGCCATGTGGTGTCTGAAGTTGCTCTGAAGTTGTGAGGTCCAGTTCTGGCTAAGGAATTTCTTTCCTTTTTATTTGCATATCAAAGGAGCAGAGAACAGAGTTCACCTGGATTCCACTTATTATTTATGAATTGAACATCCTTCTGGCGATTGTGGTGGCGGAGAGTAAGAGTTTTTTTTATGGTTTATTTATGAGCAGACTCCCTTTCGGATGGGATACCCTTTTGTGGGGGCTCGCTCTGGCATACCCTTTTGTGTGGCATGTCGTAAACATTCATTGGTTAATTCTCAACAGACTTTCGAGTGATTAGAGACAGACAAATGGCTTTTGTTGCGAGCGGTTTACAATTAACCGAAGGCTGCACTCAATTACATTCGCTTAGCCCAACAAAGAATCTGTTACGACTGATGTTGAAAGCCCCCCCCACACACACACACAATGGATAGTCGACCAATAAAGACAACTTTGTTGGCCAGCCAACCCGAGTGCAGTGGCACAATGAGGCCTCATACCGCCGCCTGGTTAATGGCATAATTTAATGACACTTCCTACACCATTAACAAGCAACACAATTTCTGATCCATAAACTTTCCGCTCGCACGCTCATTAAAAGAACATTAACAAATGTCGTTGCTGGCTCCACATCCAGTTGCCGTATCGCTCATCGGGTTAATCATACGACTGTACACTCGTATGGGTATAACCCATTATCATTCATTTCTAGATTATATATTGCACCTGTCGAGAGGCCAAAACAAAACTCAAATGGCGCCTCATCAAGGCACAGGACTTAAGTGTACCCATAAATCCTTTCGGAGCCTCTCAACAGAAGCCGGGTCGAGTCGTCTGCATCGTCTGAGTCGTCGAGTCGTCTCTTCGAGAACGTGACTTTCTCTTATGTGGAGGACAACAGGACTGCCGCCACTGAGTGGAGTGATAAATTAACGCATTAAAGCGGAGGCTCAGAGCTCCAATGGCATGGCATTTCATGGCATGGCAAGGCATGGCCTGGCTCGATGTCCTACTGCTTTTAATAACACAAATTGCAATCGAATCCAAAATAAAGAGGAACGAAAACGGAATGCGAAATGAGACACCAGAAAACGTTAACTCAATTTGTTGAGAGAGTGGCTGTATAGAGGGGTCGGCGGGGACAAACTTAAAGCCTTGCATATACATATAAGCGAAGACTTCCCATTAAATATTAACAATTGTTAAGGACAGTGTCCACTCCACTCCACTCCACTCCACTCCACTCCATAGAGAAAATTGTATGTAGACCACTCCGGAGGTAGATAGAGCAATGGTTAGACATCCGCAAATAGTCGCTGGGATCAGAAATTGTTGGCAAAATTCCACACTACGAGATATACTGCTATGAACTACAGATACAGATACAGATACAAATAGTTGCCATCATCAAACAGTATCATTTACCGGGACCGACACGGATGCCTGCCACTGTCTCAATGTCTCACTGTCCGCTTTTTTGCTGGCCAAATATCGTGTGCACCTGTGTGCAATGAAATCGAAATCAAAGAACACATACCATCCATCCAGCAAAATGGGCAAACAATGAAATAGTTGGTTGGGCAAATGTACGAGTAAATAAACCAACCGTACGGATACGAAATATATCAATACACCCCCGAACTAAGCAAAGTTTAACTACCTCTGGCAACAACAGCCCGGCCCGGCCCGGCCCGTCCCAGCCCCTTGCTGCAGCTTGCTGCGGGTTGCAACAGAGAGAATGTTTGGCAAAAAAGTGATATAGCGAGAACTAAGCGAAGAAGAGCAAAGATATATGTATGTATGTAGTGAGAAAATATAAGAGAAGAATGTCTGCCCGCAGCAGTAGCAGGGAGCAGGAAGCAGGAAGCAGGGAGCAGGGAACGGGAAACCTACAACCAACCAACCAACCAACCAACCAACAGCTGAAGCTTCTGTTGGTATGGGTTGCCTGCCTCCCTCTGTTGCTGCCTCAATGGCTGCCTGGTTTAGTGGCAAACTGATTGACGCCATGTCTTTTGATTTCCCTCGTGTGGGCCTCATCAACGCACTTGAGGAGTAGACCCCACCATCATGAGGAAGCGTATGAACTGAGATCCTTTTTCCACTGGGCGTGCCCCATATGTGACACTCAATGTGGCATCATTTGATGACCCGAAACTAGGTCAATGCGCAATGGGAAGCGATTGGTAATGGGAAAGAGAAGAACCAAAAAATAATTGAGATAGTTTGTTAGGAGAAGTGTAGAGGATTTCCAGTTTAAAGATCTTTAATTTCTACCCAAAATTGTGGATATTTTAGAACCTATTTTTCCGTACTAAATACCAAAGATTAAAATTCATTATCCTAAAAATCCCTTGTGCATTTATTCCACAATTAAATCCACAAAATTGAGCCTTTAATTCGCTAAAACCCAAAAATTGAATACCAATAATTTATTAGTTCTACAGCCATTTTATGATTATTTAACACACAAATTTGGCAAATAAATTCTGCCCCAAATCAACAGAAACGATTTTAATTGAAATACAGCCATTTTTCGTTCAACGAAATTTCCATGGAAACATGAAAATAGCCCCACAGCCGCCACCTTTTTTGTGTGTCTGTGTTTGTGTGATAATCTGATTGTAATGCAAAACTGATAAACTGATGAAATTTAGCAGATACAGAGATGCAAAGATGGAAATCAACGTGCAACTTGTTGCAGCAGAAGGTTCGTCTTTCTCTCTCTCTCTCTCTCTCTCTCTTTTAAATCTCGACTGAAATTGCATTGGATCCCGATGCAAATTCAATAAATTAGGCCTTAATTTACATACAAACGGGCAAAACAGAATTGTAGGCCAGAAGTGACTTTCCATACCATCTGTTTGCAGAAATGGAAATATTTGCCTTTGCCTTAAACCAAAATGATTCCAATTTGTAAAATGACAATGCCCAGAGGGATTTTCGCTTTTCGAGGAAAAGCGGACGGGGCTGAAAGGGCGGCGGAGCGGAGGAGCGGAAAAGCAAATCCGCAGCAAACTAAACCAAAGTCGTCTCCAGGATATTAACACTCTCTCTTCTGTCCCGCCTCGCATTTAATGTCTAATTGCATTTGCATATTCTGATAATATTCCAAAAGGGAAATGAAAGTGGCAAATGCATTTTCCGTTCTCCGTTCTCCTCATCCGAGATATTCCATTTTCCCACCCATCGGGTTTGGGGGTGGTATGGTATGGAGTGGTGGCGGGAGGTGTTAACGCGATTCTCCTAAGCTGCCAACGGAAATTTAATTGCATTCAAGTGAGAGAAGAAATTCCATTTAATTATTGCGATTAACCATAATTATTTATTAGTTTTTGCGTAATTTGCAACATGTGCAGACAATTAGTGGTCGAATCGAATCGAATGATTGGCCAGCCAAGGAAGCCATAACATGGCTAATCAGTTTTGTGTTGGGATTGATTCGGGCCCAAATCAATTTCGGAAATAAATGGAATATTAGCTACACAGGAAATGGACATAATGAATGCCATCTCAGAGAGATAATAGCAGGCATGTTTAATAATTTCGATATTTTCGTATAATTTTTTTTGTTTTTTTTTTTTAATATTCTTTAATTTATTTTTGTATGTAAAACCTGTATAAATTTAGTACACGCTAACTACATCCTTTTTGACTTTGACGCGTGGCTCCACCTACAGGCGCCACTTAAAAGCGGCCATAAATGGAACCATTTTTAAGAGTGTTCGCTAACGGCCTCCAGTTTCCACGTTAGCCAACACCTAAACTACAAAAAGTAAAATCTAGCCAAGCAACTGTTTGTAAAATTCTTTAAATTATTTGTAAAATCTACAATAAAGCAATATAAAATGGCCGCTAAAGTAGCAAGCACTGCGAACAAGGTGTTCCAGAACGTAAGTGCCAGTGAATCATCCGCTGGAGCTGGCCAAACAGCTGGCGGCGACAAGTAACCTCACTTTGCGGTGACTCCTACACATATTTTCCATCGTTCCCAACCCATAGCACGATGATGTACACATTTCCTTCGAGGATCAGCAGCGCATCAATCGCTTTGCCAAGCACAATGCTCGCATGGATGACCTCAAGGTAGAGCTGGACGTGAAGAAGAACGAGCTGAAGTGCGTGGAGGAGGCATTAGACGAGATTGAACTGTTCGACGAGGACGAAGACATTCCCTTCATGGTGGGAGAGGTATTTCTGTCACACAAGTTGGGCAAGACGCAGGAGCTGCTGGCAGAGACCAAGGATATGGTCATTAAAGAGATTGCCAGCATTGAGGCTAAGGCCAAGGCAATCAAAGTGGAAATGGACGAGCTGAAGGCGCATCTCTACCAGCGCTTCGGTAGTAACATCTCGCTGGAGAACGACGACTAGGCGCAGCCCCACACCCAGTCTTCAGTTGAAAACAATTCTCTGGCATTTACCATTTACAAAATAGAGTACATTTAATTTAAACTCAACGAATGCGAATGCTCTTTCTTCCCTTTTCCTTTCACTACAGCACTAAGAAGTATATAATCAGTCCGATGATCAGTAACGTGACCAGCATTCCCCCCAGAAATATCTTTCGATCCTCCACCAGCCGGCGCTCTATCAGCTTCATTGTATGATTGGACAGACCCAGAGTGCTCCCAATGGCCTGGATGCGCTTGTGCGCTCCGCCCAGTGTCATGCGCTGCGATATGAGACTCTCGAGTATGCCACTGCCCGACGAGATCATGTCGTCCACTCCTCTGTGAGCACTACCCAGCTGCGTATGGTGCTGCAGATCGTAGTCCAGCTGCAGGCACGTCTCCTCCGGTTGCGTGCTGTTGGCACTGAACCGATGGTTCAGCAGCTGCTCACGCTCCGAGATCTCCTGCTCCCGGCGTTGCCGGCGGTCCTTGGCATGCTGCAGCGATGTCTGCAGGTGTCTGAGGTCGTACTTGAGCTGATCCACGCGTAGCTTCGAGCTCTGACGCTGCGATGGCGGCACCTTGAAGAGCAGCACATCCAGCCGGTCGCAATTGCTGGTGGATGTGGCGAAATTATAGCGGGGGGTCTATGCAATAGGACTCAAATGACTCACGAATTGGCTTGCGTTATTTTCAATTGAATTGAGTTTTCCACGTCAAGCGCCTCCTGGGTACTAATTTGGCCGAGCCGCTGAAAGGCATGCTCGATTTCCTTGACGGTGTTATTCGTTTGATGGTACAGGGATTCCATGGCGAATGTTATAGTGCTCCTGCATTAATAGAGTGCCACCTGGTTGCCAATTAATTAATAATTTGTATGGAAATGTACTCGTTCATTTAAAAAGCTGACGCGTTGCAGTTTGCGGCAGAGCAGCTGTCACGCGTTCTGGTATATTTGCGCATGTTTGTTTTGGTATTTAACGCGTTGCCTTTGCCAGGGGACATATTTATTTATTGTACACGATCTATTTGAATTATTGCTTCGAATTACTCAAGCACAAATCGAACCTTAATTTTGTTAGAAAATTGCTTTTCTTTTGGGGCCTTTTATATACAATTAGCGTACTGTTTTAGTTTTAGTAAGTTTTATTTTCATGTATTTGGTATATTTTTGCCAACGTTTAGCCCGTTGTGGACCAGTAGGTATAAAAATACACTACACAAAAATAATGAAGCTGAAACAATTTTATTGCAGTTTAGTTGAAAGATATGGTGCTCGTTTTTTTTAGTAAAGGGAAAGGATGGATTTTTAAGATGAATTTGCATGAAACATTATTTTCCTCGCTTTAACTCAAGTTTTACACCGGCTTAAATAGAAGGCGGCTAAGTGGGTTAAGTTCATCCAATCCTGATGAATGAAACGTGAGCACGCGCGAATTACTGACATCGAGTAAAAGGAAAGTTACCAGTCATCCTTTTTAGGCATTTTTGAATCTGAGTATCGAGCTTAAATCAGCTGAGAAAAACCTTTTATGGATTTTAGAAATCAGTATTTCATTGCATGTCAATGTTTTTATACGGTCACACTGATTTTCTTGCCGTCACACTGTTAACATCCACAATGGCGAATACATCAAGTACCGGCGTTGGTAAGAAAATAATTGTTAAAATAACTATTTGCAAAGGAATAAACCCATCAAGCACGTGCGAAAATATACTGGCAATATGTGAGCCACATTTCTGACGCGTTAAAATCGGTTTTTCTGGCGAAAGAAGCGAAAAAACGCCACCCTGTCGCCGTCTCTGCGGCCAGGGCCGTGTGAAAATGGAAAAGAAAGCAGAGGCAAAAACAGGCACTGCGAAAGCCGATAAAAGACAGGCCGCGAGTGCGGTGTGATTATAATTTCTTATTGGATTGATCAGGGCCAGCCACGCCGCTCTGTCTGGTGCTCAAAACTCCAGTTCAAATGCAAGAATTGCAGTAATTTCGCTTCGTGACTTGACAGTTTCGGTCGACGACACCCCCCTCTTGCCCGTCGTCGCCGCTTGCCCTTTGCTGTGTTCCTTTTTACTTGTTTTTTTCTTCCTCTTCCGCACCGCACTCTGGCGTTCCGTGCGTTTTTCACTCTGTCGCTGCTGCTGCGGCTTCTGCTGCTGGCCAATCTGCTTCTTTTTTAATTAAATTAGCTGCAAATTTCATTTGCTTGAAATTGTTTTTGCAAATGCAAAAATTATGTCTGCAATTTGGGTGGGGTGGGATGGGGTGGTAGCCGGACCTGACTAGGTTCTCCCACCACACCCTTCCTCTATTGGGATATGATTTTATTTCGTGTTTAGTCTCTTCATAATTTTTTTCTTTGCTCTGCACCCTTCAAACATACGAAAATGCGTGCAAAGAGTCACACGGGCGAAAAGAAAAACAACGCAAAGAGCAAACAACAACAGCAGCGGTAGCAGTAGCAGCAGCAGCGGCAGTAGTAGTAGCAGCAGCAGCACGTCCCCATATGACCCCGACCGTAGGTGGCGGGGTGAGCGCAGGGCATAGCCATAGGAAGGGAAGCAGAAAACACGCTGCTGGAACGTCGTCGATTGACGACGGACGGCGGTGCTGTGTGTGGGCCATCATTTTGAGTTATTTGCAAAAAGTTTTCAATGGAAATTTATTATGTCATCGATTTGATTCGAGCTCTTGTTCTTTCTTGCAGTGGTGCCACGAAATTTCCGCTTACTGGAGGAGCTGGATCAGGGCCAGAAGGGTGTAGGCGATGGCACCATCTCGTGGGGTCTGGAGAACGACGATGATATGACGCTCACCTACTGGATCGGCATGATCATTGGTCCGCCTAGAGTAAGTGTCCTTCCTCCTGCACACGACCGAAAGATTGGTTCCGATTGGAACCATTTCCATGTTGGATACGTCACTTGATAAGACCCATGCACGGACGCTTCTTATCAGTTCTTTCGGTTGGATTATTGAAATTTTATCATTTTGATTGCGTAAATTGCGAGAGTGTAATGAAAGTTAGCAAATTTCATATTTTCCGACTGATTAATGTCCTCAATGAGTAGAGAATCTGTACATATTAGCTATGTAGCTGGTAGGAGTAGCTCTATATCAATAAGAAAGAGAGCGACAGATGTTGTAAAAGTCACTGGAAGAAGACAATGCGATCTATTATCTGTTATGGACTCAGTAAAGATAAAGTATGCCAAGGATATAGATTGTATAGATTCCTAGAAATATTCCCCTTCCAAATGATAAATAATTCACTCTCAGATAGGAATAGTTCAAGAGATCTTACATACAACTATCTAAAAGTCGTTAGAGTCGTTTACAGCATTAAATATATGAAATTGCAATCGCTGTTTGGGATCTCCTACACTTTGCAACTCAAGGCTATACAAACACGATCCTTCTGCTTAGTTTCAACTCATAAATATGCAATAAATATTTGTACAGTCGTGGAATGTTGCGCGCGCCATTGCATGATTCATCGGGAGACCTCTCCAAAGCAGAGCAGAGCAGAGTCTGGCTGCAATAAGGCTAAGGGGACGGGGGCTGGGCTGATGGCTGACTCATCGACACTTGCCATGACCGTAATTACAAACCGTTTTAAGAGTTGAATGGATTTGTTTATAGTGGAGAGCAGAGCTCACTTGCTAACTTGGGAATTGGATAATCTTTTGCTTGCAGACCCCATTTGAGAATCGAATGTATTCACTAAAGATTGAGTGCAACGAACGCTATCCGGATGAGCCGCCCACGCTAAGATTTTTAACTAAAGTTAATATTAATTGCATTAACCAGAACAATGGCGTGGTAAGTGAAAATACAAAACACAATTGCAATTGCAATTGCAATTACAATCAATTATACTATACTGAATAATAACTGAATGGAATTCCCACAGGTTGATCATAGATCAGTGCCCATGTTGGCCCGCTGGAGTCGTGATTACACTATAAAAACGATGCTGCAGGAAATCCGTAGGATTATGACCATGAAAGAGAACCTGAAGCTGGCACAGCCGCCAGAAGGAAGCTGTTTTTAGTCGACAACATCCAGCAAACAACACCAACAGCAACCCCGGCAGATGCAGAAACAACCAGAGCCAGAGCCCCCACAGACACACTCACAGCAGAGCAACACCAGCAAACAATATCAGCCGGAATCTATACAGCCATGAATCTATACAGAAGCAAGCTGTGTGTGGCATGTGGCATGCGCCTCTGAGCTGCGGCAGCCGCGGAGATGATTGAGAAGATGATGAATGAGAAGCGAGTGGTTATGTGGCCCGTTGATGCTTGCAGCAACGGCAACCAAAAACCAATTGCAAGTTATACTATAAGTAACAAGATCAGCAAAGCAAACAAACACGTCACTATAATGGTCGTCGTCGTCGTCCCTTCCGTCATAAACTACTGTCATCATGTGTTTGGTTACTTTACTTCTACTCCCCAAGCCAGCCACCCAGCCAGCCGGCCAGCGAGACCCCACAGCAGCAGCAACAACAACAACGATCCTCCCTTCTTAGCTAAGAAACAAAAACCACAACAGAACCACAAAACCAGCAACAAGTAGAACACACAACAACAACAACAACAACAAAAAGCCTACGAAAAACGAACCGAAATTCAGTTTATTATTTAATTACTTCACTCACGCGCATACACAGAGTTTTGCAACAAAATAAATACAAAAGGAGGGGAAAGTAAATCCGTAAAAAAGTAAGCGTAAACGTAAACGTAAACTAATCGAAAAGCAGAGAAATGAAAAGAAAAGAGAAGAGATGAGAAACAGGCAGGCAGGCGCATGCATTTCTAAAACGAGAGATGGATGAGCAGCAGCCCGGGTTCTTTGAGAGGAGATGCGTAATTATTGTTTTTTGCCTAAACTAAAAATTTATTAATTATATACATAAAACAAAATATATATATTAATTTAAATAAAACAAGAAACAACAACCAATCGACGAGAACTTTCTGTAGAGCAATCCGAAAGAGGATCTCGAAAATCAATCATTTTGAGTTGATTTGAGTTTTGAATTTGAAAGTAGTAGTATCGTCTGCCACCCACTCGAGTGGGTGGGGGTCGAGAGAAAACACCATTTTAATATCTTTTATATATATATATATTTATATATATATATATATGCGAGTATATCGAAAGACACAACAACCACAAACAGACACACACACACACTATAAACTGATGAGAAAATCGAGCGGAACGATGATTAATATAATACTTTAATTTAAGCTTCTAAACAAAACAATTAATAATCCAATAAAAGAATGCTCCAAAACCCCTGAATATTGGTACAGATCCGTTGAGATTTTTTGCGAGTCTCTTATTCGAGATTCTTCAACAAATGACAACTGATCCAGCCAAGGATCTTATTAATTATTAGTGATCTTTATACGCTGAGTGAATGTTAACTAAAATTATATTTCTGCATTTTACAGACCCAGAAAACTAAGATGCGGTCTTCGTTTGCAAAACCTGTCTATAAAATTGGCAAGGGCTGACTAAAAATTGGGAAACGCTAAAAATGCATGAATAAATGGTAAGCTGGATCATCTTCTACTTATGATAGTTCGATCAGCAATGCGATCAGTCAGTCAGCTACGACAAAACCGCCAATAACTCGCAATTTCCTTATCATATTCCTGCCGACTAGTTGCAAATCTAGGCAGATTTATGCATGAGTGCAGCGGAAGAAAGAAATCTGTTCCCAAATTTTCTGCATTCACAGAACCCTTTAAAGACTGATCCAAAGCTCCTCTCTCTCCTCTCCAATGATCCCAAACTCCTGCCCTCTATAATTATCTCTGTTTATTTGTCAATTTTATATTTTGTTTAAATACATTATTTGAATTATAGCTTCTATACACAATCAATGTAATATTATCATCCGTGGATTCATTTTGCTAGGTTTCCTGCTGCTGTTTTACTTTAACTTTAATCTTTAATCCCCATTCAATCTTGTCGGTCCGTCCGTCCGTCCGTTCTCTGATCCTGGCGATCCCAATTTGTTTTTAGCTATTTTTTTGTTTTTGGATTGACACAGATCGAATAGTTGTTGTGGATTCGGTTTGGGCGGTAGGGAGAACACTGATTTGGTAGTGTGGTTGACGACGATGGAGTTGATGTTGGGTTTCTTTGTGTGTTCTTTTGCTTAAAATTGATTTATCTTTATTAGTCGGGTAAAGCCGAGATAACACTGCAATTCTTCAGACCACAAATCAAATTCAAACATTTCTACTTCTCCTTGGGCACGAACACGATCTTTCGCGACTTGAGCGAGGACCACTTGTGTCGCTTAATGTAATACGAGATGGCAGTCAAGAAGCCGAGAATGGCAATTACTTTGATCAGCATCTGCTTGCGATCGTCGTGCTCCGGCTCCGAAGTCCACTTGAGGAACGTGGCCACATCCTTGGCCAATTGACTCTGTGTTGGCGGTGTGCCATCCTCGTACTCAATGACCTACGAAACAAAATATCAATTGGTTTCGATTTAGATCTGTCTCCAATCCTTTTCCACTGCTGCGGCTACACTCACCTCGTTGTACAACACCTGGGCCATGGAAATGGCGCCGCCTGGGAAGTACGGATTGAAGTACTGGCCCTCGCGCAGCAATATGCCGGCTGGCGCATCATGGTAGCCGGTCAGCAGCGAGAAGATATAGTCCTCGCCACCCTTGCGTGCCGACACGATGTAGCTCAGATCCGGTGGATAGGCACCGTTGTTGGCAGCACGCGCCGCCTCCTCGTTGGGGTACGGCGACGGGAAGTAGTCCGACAGTTTGCCGGGACGGTTGTAGAAGTTGCCGGTATCATCGGGACCATCCCTGACCTGCACAGGAATATACAGGATGTAGCCAATTGTAAATCTCTCTCTCTCTCTCTCTTTTCTGCGATTTCTTACCGTGATCTGCTCGGCCTCGGCCTTTGCCTCAGCTTCGGTGTGGCTGACGCCAACCAGATTGCGGTAGGCAATATATTGCATCGAATGGCAGGCGGAGCACACCTGCTTGTACACCTCATAGCCGCGACGCACACTGAAAATGGGGACAGAGAATCCACATGTTTAGTAAAGAAAGTCCCCGAAAGAAGAATGTAATCTCTAGTAAACTCTGGCAAAGTTGTTACCTCTGGTGGTCCAGCGAGGAGAAGAGGCCCTTGTGGTTCCATGGCTGGGCAGGGGAATGCACCGTGCCGTCGGAGGCATCCACGGACTGCTCCAAAGCGAACAAGAGAGCACCAACGCCGCCGGTAATGGCACCCACAGCGCCGATCAGCTGTTCGCGACACGCAAACAGAAGCAAGGGGCAGAGAGAGTAAACGCGTTTTGAGGTTAGGTCCGTTCGGCTATTATGAAATGCTCTGCGGGTCGGATTGGTGACTCGGGACTTACCTTCTTGTTGCTGTTGGCCCAGCTGCTGGCCGAGGAGAGGTTCTTGGCCTGCAAGGAGAGAACAATCGATTAGGCATTCGCCCAGGCAAAAGTCAGAGGTATACGATTTTTCGCACAGAGTTACATAATTGGGTGGTCTGTGGGCGACCTCTCACTGCACTTGGGCCAAAGGCAATTTCTTATCACAGATGGGAAGCACTTTTTCGTTCGATTTGCGTACCCACAATTGCCTTTCAACCGTTTGCTTAGAAATTAAGGGGAAATCTTGCCATTTGACATCACTTTTTGGGGGCTGTGTCGTCCCCACTGGCTCGGGGGCCGTGAAAATTTGGTCCCATGGCTGTGCGCTTGGCGTATTACCTGCTGCAGATTCAGCGCTGGCGTGGACTTTAGCAGTCGCAGGCCATGGAATCTTCGCAATGTCGCTGCCATGGTGGCCGGAGTACAATTTTCTGCGTCGTCTGGTCGTGTAAGGAAACTCTAAGGGCAGCGCCAATCTATCTATTCCACTGGCACTGGTTTCTATCGTCGCTCTCTCGCAGATGTTTACTCGCTATTGATCGACTTCGGCTCTCGCTCGCGAATGGATGCGTTGGCGTGGGAATTCATCGTATTCCCACGGTGGTTTTTGGTATTTTTTTTTTCGGTGATTATTTAATTTAATAAATCTAAACGTTTTTTTAATTTTGAATTTAATACATTTTTCTGGCAACCTGTTGCATTGTATAATTTTTCTTATTAGATTTCCACTTGATCATTGTTGTCATGAGTAACTTCAAGTAGCCATTTTGTATTAATTTCTTACGTTCTTATGCTTCCATTCCCCTCATTCTTTTGTAGGACTTATTTCTTACGTTCCTACGCTTCTTTCCCCTCTTCTGTGGGATTTATTTCTTACGTTCCTACGTTTTCTTTCCCCTCAATCGTCTGTACGATTTATTTCTTACGTTCCTGCGATTCCTTTCCACTCATTATTTTATAGGAGAAGTTCGTTTTAACAGTTTGAAGCGGAGATATGGAATGCTAAATCATTTCTTTGATTTCTATCTTGTCAATGGGATTTACTTTAGTTATATTGTGGCTTTTTTAAAATTAAAAAACGGCTAGCCAAAATAAAACATGCAATCGTTAGTTTCCCCATTTATTTGGTATTTTATCAAATTAAGTATTTCGTTAAAAAGTAACGATGTCCAATCGATAACAGAAATGGTTATGCAAACAAAAACAAGAGCGTATCAACCAGGGTGACTATATATCATTTCATCTCTCGAATTGTTCTTCCGGGCATCACATGAAGACTTTCCTAAATTTATTCCACTGGTTTGCATTCATGTCCTCGTCACTCCTTTCAAACAATTGCACTTTGGCGCGCAGCTCTAACGACTCTCCAGTCAACTGGTTCCAAATGTGTAGTAACCATGTAGTTACAATGTAAAAACTGGCCATTTTTGTTGACCGCTGTTTAAATCCTATTTTATAAAAAATTCAATGAAAGGGAGTCCTGTAAATTAGACAATCTAGTTGAAAATGAGTCTATCAATCTGATGAAATTATTTATTCAGAGCTGAGGGTTCTAGCTACCAAGAAATAATTAAACCGAACATCAAAGTCGATGAATATGATTTCCCTTCATGGACAGCGATAGATTAACCCATTGTCGACCAGTCGGTATTGAAATGCACTTCACGAAAATTATGAATCTTAAAGAATTTAAGCGCAGTTTAGGTGAAAGATATCGGGGTCTTTTTTTTTGTAAGTAAAGAGGAAATATTGGATGGATCTATAAGAAGTCTTACTTTCCGCGGTTTAATTCAAGGTGTTCTGCGTTTAAATAGAGGGGGCTTATGCGGGCTAAGATAAATCTGCGGTCAATAGCAACGGTGGGCATAAACAAATGCTAAGAAAATCCATTCTAATCGATTCCCAGTAATTGCGGTTAGCAGAAAAGGTTGCTCACTGCCGACAGATATTGGGAAAAAATCAAGAGAAAGTCATACACCATGCCACAGGAGGAAACGGCAGCAACAACGGCACCGCCGCAGCAACAGCTCGATGACGAAATCGAAAATGTCCGTGTGGTGGTGCGGACGAGGCCCATGGATAAGAATGAGCTGACTGCTGGAGCCCTGAGTGCGATATCCGTGGATAAGATCAACCGGGCCATCACCGTAATGAAGCCCAACGCGACAGCCAATGAGCCGCCCAAGACGTACTACTTCGACAACGTCTTCGATGGCAGCTCCAATCAGCTGGACCTCTATGTGGACACGGCGCGGCCCATTGTGGACAAGGTGCTGGAGGGATACAATGGCACGATCCTGGCCTATGGCCAGACGGGCACCGGCAAGACGTACACAATGTCGGGGAATCCAGACTCGCCCCAAACAAAGGGAATTATACCCAATGCTTTTGCCCACATCTTTGGACACATAGCCAAGGCCCGAGAGAATCAAAAGTTCCTGGTGCGCGTTAGCTATATGGAAATCTACAACGAAGAGGTCCGGGATCTTCTCGGCAAGGATGTGAGCAAGAGTCTCGAGGTGAAAGAGCGGCCCGACATCGGGGTCTTTGTCAAGGATCTCAGCGGCTATGTGGTGCACAATGCGGACGATCTGGAGAATATCATGCGATTGGGAAATAAGAATCGCGCCGTAGGAGCCACCAAAATGAACCAAGAGTCCTCTCGGTCCCATGCCATCTTCTCCATCACAGTGGAGCGGAGCGAGTTGGGCGAAGGCGGTGTCCAGCATGTGCGCATGGGCAAACTCCAGTTGGTGGATCTGGCCGGATCGGAGAGGCAGTCGAAGACTCAGGCCAGTGGGCAGCGCTTGAAGGAGGCCACCAAGATCAATCTTTCACTTTCGGTGCTGGGCAACGTCATCAGCGCTTTGGTGGATGGCAAGAGCACGCACATTCCATACAGGAACTCAAAGCTTACGCGACTGCTGCAGGACTCCCTGGGAGGCAACTCCAAGACCGTGATGTGTGCCACCATTAGTCCAGCGGACAGCAACTATATGGAGACTATTTCCACGCTGCGCTATGCGAGCCGTGCCAAGAACATTCAGAATCGTATGCATATAAATGAGGAGCCAAAGGACGCCCTGCTGCGCCACTTCCAGGAGGAGATTGCCCGCCTGCGCAAGCAGCTGGAGGAGGGCACCCTCGAGGAGGAGCCGCCGAGCTCTGAGGAGGAGGAGGACACCGCCGACGATGAGCTCGAGGCTCCGCTGGAGATCGAAATGGAGTCCTCTACTGTACAGGTGGCCGAGAAGAAGCCGAAAAAGAAACGCGAGAAGACCGACGAGGAGAAAGAGGAGCTGGCCCAGCGTAAGGACGAGCATCTGCGCGAGATCGAGCATGCCAAGAGCGAGCAGGAGCAGCTGCGCAACAAACTGGTGTCCCTTGAGGGAAAGATCCTGATGGGTGGCGAAAATCTCCTGGAGAAGGCCCAGACGCAGGAGAAGCTGCTGGAGCAATCCATTGCCGAGCTGGACGAGCGCGAAAAGACCGAGGAACAGCTGCGGGAAACGCTGCAGAAAAAGGCCACCGAACGCATCGACATCGAGGAGCGCTACTCCACGCTTCAGGATGCCAGCACAGGGATAACCAAGAAGATACACCGTGTGATGCAGATGCTGATGGGCGTCAAGTCGGAGCTGGCCGACCAGCAGCAGGAGCACCAGCGCGAGAAGGAGGGCATCTACGAGAACATCCGCAGCCTGTCCCGGGAGCTGGCCCTCTGCGAGCTGGTCCTCAACTCGTACGTGCCCAAGGAGTACCAGTCAATGATCAACCAGTACACGCACTGGAACGAGGACATTGGCGAGTGGCAGCTCAAGTGCGTCGCCTACACGGGCAACAACATGCGCAAGCATATCTCGGCCCACAAGTCCAGCGGCAAGGAGCCAGAGTTTGTCGATCTCTCACACGTCTATCTCAGCTACAACACAGACGGCGTCTCCAATCCCATGCGCCAATCCAAGTCGGCCCGGCCGCGCACCTCGGGTGTGCCCCGCCCCACGACAGCTCGACGATACTGAAGCCACACCAGTTCCGGTTCCAGTCTCAATCTCGCTCCCACTCCCAATGGTCCATTGCTAGTCCAAGTCCAGGTTTTAGCCGGGCTACGTGCCCAGTTTTGGTTTCTTTTGTTGCTGCTCTTACTTTTCTACGGCTTGAAGTTCATTTGCTCAGAGAATTTCCGTTTATAGTCTTTAGTTTTTGTTGAATTATTTTTTAGGCCATACTTTTAGGTTGAACAACGGTGCAATATGTCTACAATTAACATTAATTTATAATTTATTCTATGATACGACTAAGCAGGAACAAGATTTTACACCTAGGCACAAATCATGCATAAGAAAGATATTATTGATGTGCTTTTGGCTTTTAAATAAATAGCAATATTATACTCAAAATATTTTAAAGAAAGTTAGACCTCTTTACGGATGTGGCACCGCTGGCTCTTACTTGCCCTGACGTGCATTGATGGAGCTGTTCAACTGGTCCTGCGGCAAAAAGATATTGAGCACGTAGGAGAATCAGCAGTCTGCTGTCAGAATATTTTTGCTTACTCAATCGCTTTCAGATATAAAAGGCAAGCCCATCTGTACAACGTCAATGGCCTGTGCTCCCATACATACGATCCCTGTAGAGCTCCTCGATTTTGATCAGCCTATGTTACATTTCAATACACGTTTTGGACATGTAAAATGTAAAATCCTGTTCGCTGTTAACAAGTCATCTAATGTTTGCAACAGCATTTCAGTGACACCAACAATGGGATATTAGAAAATAATTTCCTTTTTTCTCAGCAGCAAAACATGCAACGAATTCGTTTGCCGCTGTTGCTACACAAAACTGAAATTTGGCCAACAGCGTACAGCTGGTTCCATAGTGTAGCGGTTATCACGTCTGCTTTACACGCAGAAGGTCTCCGGTTCGATCCCGGATGGAACCAGGTGGTTTCTTTTTAATTTAATTGTTTAGTTTCTCCATCACTCAGTTTTAGTTTTGTTAGTCCCCAATATGTACTTTCTATAATATGGGTGGTTTATTCCGGCCCATGTTGCTTTAGCTTTTTAAAAAATCTGTGCATTCTGTATACAAATTAATTAAATAAAATGAAAATGACAACTTTCAAACGACTTTTCAATTAAAAAATTTGTACCACAAAAGGGGTATGGGATGAAAAATAATTGTGGAAAAAGTTAATTTCCTTCTGGTTCCATCCGGGATCGAACCGGAGACCTTCTGCGTGTAAAGCAGACGTGATAACCGCTACACTATGGAACCAGCTGATGTCTGCATTTCAGAACTCCTACACAAGCCAAGGCCCTAAGAATGCGACACAATTAACAGAACATTGGTATTTTGAACGATTGTGGAAACTGGGTTCGTTCTGTCGATCGTTAAGAAATTAAAATAACCAAGGAATTTGCAAATTAGCATATTCACTTAAGGGAATTCCTTTTTACTCGAGTGATAAATAATAATTTAATAACTTAAAAAAAACCTTTCTTTCTGTTGTGCTGTTGTTGTCAGGTCAGCCATTTGTTTGGCTGTAATTTCTTCCGCTCAGGTGGTACATCGGTACGGAGTTTGCTCGGGGCAAGGCGGCATTGTGTGCATTAAAAATTGAGGCACAAACGCAATCGAACCGAAATAAGTAACTTACTATTGTAAGAGTGCTGTTTCCTGGTAATTAATGCCTTACCTTTGTAAAAATAAACCCTGTGTGCATGCACAGGTAGCGGCTCAACAAACATGCAGAGATAAGAGTGGGTATGGCTGTATTACTGTACTGTACGTTTCCGTTACGGTGTATTTGCTTGCGACTTTGAGTGGGATTTTCGCGTTTTAGACCACCTAATAACTTGACAAATTCTCCCCCCTGCGCCCCTCCACACCATGACTGTTATCTCTTATCGCGGCACGTTTTGTTTGCTCTTTCCGATTGTGATTCGTCTGATGGGAGGTTTTGGGGGGCGTGACTACACGTTCGGAGTTTCAGATTCGAGTCGTTGCTAGCGGAATTTTCTCTCTCTCTCTCTGACGTCATGAATAACTGTTTGATTTACATATGCATGAACAAATCAATTCGCTACGATCGAAAGGGATAGAGAGAGAGAGAGCGAGAGAGTGCAATGATGAAGAGCGTGCAGAAGAGAGCATCGTGAGATAAAGTTGGAGAGATTTATTGAGCCATTGAGTGAAACGTGTGAGAGTCATACACTGTGCTACAAGAGCGGAGTAGAGTGGGTAATTGTATAAAATGTAAATAATTAAATACTTGGCCTCTTCACATCTCACATGTCTGTATATGTGTATGTATGGTAGAGAAAGGTCACCAAAAAGATAGAAAACGTAATAAGATCATCCGGATCGGACAACTGTTGATATCGCGTCTCCCAAGGGAGAAGGTACCAAAGCGGTACCTCAACCACAACGGACCGAAACCGGCCGGCGCGACAGGTCCAATCGTGTCCCAACTGACTAACCCATCCCTCTTCACAGTGTAGTTGAGTGAGAAATAGAGAACTGCATCGAGCCGGCTCCCACCCCACATATTCATAGAAAGAACCCCAATCTCGTTAAGTAGTGTAGTCTCGCACATTCTGCTGGCATACCACTCAAACTCTCACGCCGCACAAAATCAAGCAAGCAATCAAGTTCTCTCTTTTCTTACTTCTCTTTGAGTCGGACACAATCCACGATGATCGTTCGGGGCCGATTGTTCGGCGTGCGTTTATTTCTCTTTTACTCATCGCCGCAATCGGAAGGAAAAATACATAGGTGCTTTTATTTCGTACATTTTTGTAATTTGTGTGTTTTATCGTGTTCAGCGTGTACGAGTCTTTATTGTTACTGTACGATTGTACAACTGCCGACGGCTAAAAATACGTACAAAAAAGAGTAGCAGCCCGCTTTCGGAGTGTAACTAAAAAAGCGCCACGTTCTCGCGTTCTACAAAACTCTCCCCTACCCGCTACTTATACACACTATATATAATTAATTTAAAACAAAGCCGCATAGCAACAACAATCCCAGCAAATTCAATGAAATAAAACAATAATTTCAAGCAAAATCAACGTGGATTTGTTATAAACCAAACGAGTGCGGATCGTCCGACGGCAAAAAAAGCGAGAGAAATCGGGAAAAAGTTATATCTCCCACCAGTGCTTTTCCAATGTAGCCCTTCACGCTTGATTAACACGAGAGCGTTGTGTGACAATATAGCAGTTTTTCGTGTTAAATACCCAAATATCGTACAAAGTGGCCGACTATAGCAAATATCCAAAGAATTCTCCTCCTCCATACCACACATTTCCCAGCAGCAGCCAAAGCGAATTTCACTCAAGTGCTAGCGCAAAATTTGCCTGAGTCACGAGCCATTTCAATTTTCCGGTAAGTTGTCCTCGATCTCGATATCGAATATATATATATATGCACATATGTACCCAGAGAATACTGTTTCCATCGAGTGTTAAGTGTTAGTGTTAACAGTGCCATTTGTAAGGCTCCCAGTAATTGATTATTGACCTCGTAATATTAACATTCAGACAATCAGGAAAGGCGACGCGCAATATCTGTTTACTGGCAAAAAAAAAAGAAGAAGAAAAAACCGAAATAGGGTCAACATCTGATGAGAGAGGAGACGATGGGCAGATGAGACGACACAGTACTATATAGGGGTGACTCTCTCTCTCTCTCTTTTTAACCACCACGCTTCCGAGGATGGATTCTTGGTACTCTTATCTGTGGTTCACGGGGTAAATCCCAAATGGCCATTGTCTATTTTTAGTACATGTTGCCATTCGCATACCCATTCCCATTTCCATTTCCATCACCATTCCATTCCATTGATTATAAAATGTCCGATACCGACTAGACCTTGTACCTGCCCTCCGATGTGAGTCATTTGTTGAATAACATTTTCCAAGATACGAGTACGACGTGCGACAAGCGGAACAGGACAAGATCACATGGGTGTTGGGCAGATCGTTGACATGGGTGAAGACCCCGGACAAACAGCCTACAGACACATCTCCAGCTTGATCTGCTCTCTCGCTGAAGTTTGCCAAATAAACATGCCATATAAATGGCCAAGACGCAGGGCATCCAAAAATACTCTGTACTTGATGTATTTACGTAGATTCTCTGTCTGTCTTTCTGTCGGGGTTTAAGTGTCTTTTCCGCTGAAAGATCCCTTATCTGAAGCTAGATAACATATGGTTTTGCACATGATACTACCAGTCAAGTCCAGTCAAACAATATCAAAATTTGTGACAGTTTAGTTCAGGTCTTACCTCGCAGCGGTTCACACAGATTGTGCACTAAGCAAAGATTCAAGAGAGTTCCCAACCCAACCCAATCCAAAATGAAAACCTTGCAGACCGACGATCAAGTGTTTTTTTATTTCAGCCAATAAAAGTAAGAGTTCAACCTCAAAAGCCAATGGCCTAGAATACAAAACTCCAAAAAAAAAAAAAATAAAATAAAATAAACAAAAAAACCCAAACGAAGCCAAGACAAAAAACTTCTCAAATTACCTCCAAAATCGGTTGAAAGGGGAGCTAAAGAAACGTCTCTCTGCCTAGCAACACGATGTTCAAGTTGAAGTTGAAATTCTGTAGACTGTAGACTGGAGACTGGAGACTGGAGACTGGGCATTCGCGGCAGTTTCGCTTCTCAGGCTTCTCCCTTGTCCCCTTCTCCCCTAGAACCCTCGGCGTCTGGGGACCAAGACAAATAAAAAGCAATAAAAACTATTAAAGCAACAACATGAGGCACACATCCAGAGTTGCTGAGAGGCAGGTCTTTCCAAGAAGTGCCCCGGCAGGCAGCCCCATTGTACGACAGACAAATGAGGTCAAAATCCTTGAGGTTCTTGTCCTTCCTGGCTTAGGCCCGGTCGCCGGGACTGTGGGATATCTGTGGAACAGGAATGTTTCGTGCTGCAGAACAGGAAAGAGAAAAAGTATAAATAGAAGGAGAACGAAGACTGTAGATCGCTTAGCTCCTACATATCTCTCCCTCTATGTGGATCTGCACTGTGTGTGTCTTTGTTTGTGTGTGTGTTTGTGCTTTGATATTGACCGACAATTGTCAATCAATTGCTGCTTAGGTAAGGCTAGAAACAACGAGCGAATTATATGTACATATATTGCAAATACATATGTATGTAGCAGATTAATCAAGGTTTTTCCCCTTCCCCTTCCCATTCCCATTCTCATTCCCACTGTGCCTGGGACTTATGTAAATGTCTGGTACACAGAACTTGTCGCCATTTCAATTTCAATTCATTTCAATTGAGAGCAGTCCAAGAATTTGATTGACCCCACAACACAGACAGAGACAGAGACAGAGACAGACAGACACATACTCTTATCAATTTATGAGAGGCAAAGAAAGTGAAAAGCGAGGCAGGCAAGTTAACGTACCCAATTCCATTGAGCTCTTATACGAGTTGTAAACAATCTTTGGTTTTCCAAAACGAAAACAATTTCAATCTTGGGCCTCCGCCTAATTGATTTCTAAGATGTACAATCTCAAGCGCCCCCGCCGCAATCCCATTCTTTGACACTCGCCTAAATGGAAAACCAATGTTTGCCCACACCCGGCTTCTCATAAACAATCTCACTCCCGGCTTTCTGCAGATCCTGCACTTTAGGCCTTTTACAGTTCTCTCTTTGGATGACGAAATCTAATACTCGGGATGGCGAAATCAATTGAAATGTTTATAGAAAAACGATTCCCGAAAGGGATCAACGATGCAAAGATCAGAAAGTTCAAATCAGTCTTGATCCAGCAGCGACACCGCAAAGTCTAGCTAAATATTAAGATCGCGCAATCCCTTGGCCCGGAATTCCTTTGTGACCCTCTACTTAAATCTATATCAGTGAAGTTCGAAGTAAAATAAAAACTTTTTAAAAACACAATCCGCTACCGCAGTTGTTTAATTGGCGCCCAACGTGGGGCGACGTTGTCTAAAAAGCACCGAATGATAAAAGTGTTGCGTCGTGCCGAAACCCGAAGGACAATTAATTAATGGAATAAATCCTTCAAAATTAAAAACGCGGAGTGACTGTGTGATATAGATAAAAAAAAGTGAGATAAAAAGGAAACAAACCGGAGCTTAGGGTGTGCAAAAACAAATACAAATACAAATACAAATACAAATACAAATACAAATACAAATACAACGCAAAATACAAATAAAACAAAAAGCTAATCAAGGCAATTCGTAAATACAAAAAAAACCAAAGAAACCCAAAGTTTTTAAAAAAACAAAACCAACAAAACCGACAAAACCAAAATACAAAGAAAGTGAAACGATCAGCGAAGCCAAAGAAGGAAGACCCCCAGAAGACCCAGCTGAGCAAAGAAATTTAAGAAGGAAGACCCGTTCGAAGATCTGCCAAACTAAGAAGGACGACCCCTACCGGATATTTCGTGAGCAAGAGTTGTATTAATAAATATATAAGTTCAATTAGGATATATAAGATTATAAAAACTAACATATAAGAAAAATTAAAAGTGGATCAGCTAACTTTAGATTTTGAAAAACTAAAAATGATTAACTCTCAAGCAAGGACCGATCTCACAGCAGATCTGGTCAAACAATTGATAGCACTTCAAATTTCACAAGTACAAGAGCAAATTGTAAATTTAAAACAGCAAATAGAAACTAAATCCGATCAGGTATCGGATTATCAGGCAGAAACAATAGACGAGACAATAAGAGACGACACCACATTGAAGGTAATAGAATCCCTACCAATTTTTAATGGTGGATTAAACCAATATGTAGGATGGAGGGAAGCTGCAGAAACTGCAGTGAAGTTATATAAGAAAGGAAGTAAGCAATATTATATTGCATTAACAATTTTGAGAAACAAAATAACAGGACCAGCACATGACGCACTGACCAACCACGGGACAGTTCTAAATTTTGATGCCATACTTTCACGGCTTGACTTTGTTTACAGTGACAAGAGACCTATTTACATAATAGAACAGGAATTAAGCGTTCTCCGACAAGGGAACCTTTCAATTATAGATTTCTATAACGAGGTTAACAAGAAAATGACCTTGTTAATAAATAAGACAATAATGACTCACGGAAAGGACAGTGAGATCACCAAGGAATCAAATAAAAAAATTAGAGACAATGCCTTACGCATTTTTGTCACTGGCCTAAACGGCGGCATTGCTGAAATCCTATTTTCATTGAATCCCCCAGATTTACCGAATGCCTTAGCAAAGGTACAGGAATTGCAATCTAATAACATTCGGGCCCAATTTGCCTACCAATTCAGCGGTCCCAGAAATTCAGGGAATAATAATTTTAATACCTTAAGATTCAACCAACGACAACCTAGGACTAACAGTTCACCATTCGACCAAAAAAGGGATTTGCAGAGGAATAACATGTCTTGGGGACAACCCTATTTCTTGGGTAATAGACAACAAAATCAGGCCCCAGAACCAATGGAGGTAGACGAATCTATACAAATCCGGAACCGACAGAACAGCAATCAATTCAGGGGAAATAATAACAATAGAAATTATCGGGAGAATACTAACGGTTATTTTAGGAGAAATAATAACAATTATAGCCAAGCCCAGCATTTTAGGGCAAACGTAGTCCCGAATAATCAGTCTAACGACAATCCAGCGCAGAAACGAAAACTAAACGAAATGTCGGAACAACCGGCTAATAAAGCAATGAGGATAAATAACATTGAGGAGGATCATTTTTTAGATCAGCCCCCGAAGTAGGTCTGCCCTACCTAAAAAGAGTAGACAAAAAAATAAACAGAGAATTAAAAGTTTTGATAGATACGGGAGCAACTTCCTGTTATATAAAAAAAGGAATTTACGACAATAAAAATGAATTACCAATCTATAAGAAAGTTGCTACAGTGAATGGGTTTTCAATAATTAAATATTTCCATAATATAACAATTTTCAACACAAAGCAAGTGTTTTATGAAATAGATGGAATGGAGGCAGATTTACTAATAGGATTTAACCTATTAAAGAAAATCGGAGCGGTTATTGATACAGGAAAGGGGACTTTAAGTTATAAAGACAATGAGGAGAAACTAATATATGACGAGGTCCTTTCTTTAAACAAATTAACCTTTATAGAAGGAAAAACCATCCTTCCGTTGAAGGAATATATAATAAAAAAATATTTTGAAGAAGAAAAAGAAATGAAAAGCGATTCAGTAAAGGTAGAAGGAAGTTTATATAGCTTGGGATCAAAAAATCCTGAGCACGCCGACGAAGAATTATCCGTCAATAGTTTGGGATTCAAATATCCTGAGCCCGCCGTCGTTGAATTATCCGACATCCAAAGTTTTAATAGTTTGGGATTAAAATATCCTGAGCACGCCGTC